CCCCCCCAACTCACCTGTCAGGTTGCCCAAGAAAATGATGAAGCAGAGAAGTGGGCAAAGGACCCCTCGTGTCTCCATACTCGCTGGAGTCCTGGGTCTTCCCCTGCATCTGCTGGCAGGTTCCAGGAGACTGAGCCAGGAGAGCACAAAGGAGGCAGGGACCTTTGATTCTGGAGAGGAAACCCAAGCTTGGGCTGTGGCCTTTGCACTGATGCTATCAGCAATCATGGGACAGCAATAATAAATTGATCTTGTGCTCCCCCCCGAGATCCTTCTTTCCCTTCTTTTCCCTGCAAAAAGAAGGGGGCTCTGGTTTAGAGGAGGCCTTCAGGGCCAACGTTCATGTGTGTTGGGGTTGAGGTACTGGGACCCCAGCAAAAGTCTGGGCCCTGTGGTGTGGGGGAGGAGCTGTAATGCAACCAAATGAGCTGCATCTGTGGACTTAGCCCCCCCTGGCCTGATAGTGGTCCCAGAGCCCTGATAATGTATTAATATTGGGAGCACCTTGGCCTCTGGCAGGGATGTGGAGGGGGAGGGTTGATGAATATATGCATGGGCACATGGAGGACATGGAGAGGGGGGCTGGGTCAGATGATAATTGTCTCTGACAACGATGCAGATGTCTCTCAATGGGAATGGGGGAAGGGGATTGGGAACAGATGAGAAGGGCCATGATGTCCTTTTGTGCCTCTATGGCACATCCTGGGTCTGGTCCCTGCAGCTCTGAGAGGACAGAGAAGAGCTAGAGAAAGAGCAGAGAAGGGTAGCAAGGGTCGTTGGTGGCTTGGAAGGGCTTCCCGATGAGGAGAGACTAACAAGGCTGAGACAGACACAGACAGGGTGCGGGGTAGAGAGATAGATGGAGTGTGGGGTGGAGGGATGGAGAATGAGACTGTGGGTTGCATAGATTGATGGATGGACAGATCAAGCATGGGGTGCAAAGATGGATAGAATGTGGGGTGGAGAGGTGGCCAGGTAGTGTGTGGGGTGCAAAGATGGATAGGCAGAGTGTGACATGGAGAGATGGATAGAGCTTGGGGTGGATTGATTGATAGATGGCCAGATAGGGTGTGGGATGGGTGGATGAATGGTATCTGGGATGGATGAGTGGATGGGTGGGTGAATGGATGGATGGAGTGAGCATGGGGTGCATAGATGGATACGTAGCATGGCATGGATAGATGGATTTGAGTGTAGGAGATAGATAGATAGATAGATAGATAGATAGATAGATAGATAGATAGATAGATAGATAGATCAAGAGTATGGGATGGATGGATGGATGGATGGATGGATGGATGGATGGAGCATGGGGTTGGATGGAGGGGTGAACGGATGGATGGGCAGATGGACAGAGGGATGGATGGAGGAGTGGATGGATGGAGGGATGGAGAGTAGGCTGCATAAATGGGAGCTCAGCTGGATTCCCCATGGGCCAGGCCCCATTCTTGGAGCCAAGGGGCCTCGTTGGCTGTTGACATGGGAGTGAGAGATGTGGCTACTGCATCAGCCCCTCAGTGCTGGCGGCAGCCAGGGAGAGAGGAACTGGGGAGCCCTGCCCAGATGTGCTCACTCACCCTCGCAGCCTTGGCTCTCTGCTGCATGGGACACAAGACCCGGACCCCAGTGTGAGCCGGTCCCTGGCAGCTCCAATGCTCTCATGCTGCAGGAGGGGAGGTGTCTTGGTGCCCCAGCTGGGGTGTCCCCCAGTTCCCCCCATCCCTGACCCCCCAGTAAGTGGCTGGAAGTTGCAGCCATGAAGGTTTTGGGGGGAGCTTGGGGAAAGCTTCTTCTCTGTGAGGCAGCAAGGCCATGGGGTTGATGCTCAGGCCCTGGGGACTCCCTATCTCTGGAGGGGCTGGCCGGGCTCTCAGCAGGGCAATCAGAGCTCAGTGGGGCCCAGGCTCTACCGTGGGACTCTCCCAGGCTCCGCTGGATGTCCCCCTCCTTTCTGCTTCATGGGCCAGGGGGGTTCAAACGTTGGCTGCAGCCCAGGCTGGGGATGGGGACTGGACTGTGCCAATGCTCCTGCTGGCACCAAACCCACATGGCTGGAGGGTCTTGCCCCCTCCCCACTCAGGCTGATGCTGCACTGGGGGCAGGGAGGCATTTCCCCCTTGCTCACACTGGTCCAGACTTGGGGGCTTCTCCTCCCCCAGCAGCGGTGGCATGGCCTCAGCCTGGGGTCTCTGGAGCATCCATGAACCCCCTTGGCAGCACCCAGATGTTGGTGGCTGCGGCCCCCTGCTTTCCCCAGGGCACAGGCAATGCCTGGGACTGACAGGGGTGATGGCAGCTCTAGGAAGAGCTGCCCCCTGCCCTGTGCCCCCTGCCCCATCCATTGCTCTACTTCTGGCTCCCTGCCCTGGGTTCCTCTGGACCTCACCCCTGTGGCTCTGAACTGGGACCATGGGGTGGTAGCCAAGAGCCAGACACTGCCAGCACCATTAGCATGGTGGGAAAAATAATAATAATTTATTCATAATATATAATACAGCTCAGTCCAGGCCAGGTGCTGGTCTCTGTATCCTGATGGGGGCAGGAGCTGGATGACACGGGGACTTCATTCCACAGCCCCCAGGGACACAGAGAAGCACATCCGGAGTTCTCCTGGGGAGGAAAGCCAGGTACCATAATTGCCAGCATACAACATGCACTCCCCCCCCCACCCCAAGATCAGCAGCAATTGGGGTGCAAGTATTAAGCCTTACGCCCTGCCAAGGAGAGAAGCCTGTGACTCTGATTCTCCCCCTCCCCCACCCTTGGCAGCAGTATTACTATCCAGGCAGCAGAGGGTGTCCATTGACTCCTTGCTCTTCACTCCAGAGGCTTTAATGACCCTCTCTCCTTCCCCACAGTCCTGGTTCATCAAGCAACCTTTTATTCTCAGGACTGTTCCATTGTCTTGGTCACTTTTTCTAGCTCTTTTCTAGCTTGTAGCCCCCAATCCATCTTCAGTAGCATTTAGGCATTCAGCTTAAGTTAAGCACTGTCTGTGCTCTGTGAAACCACAACTCCATGAGGGCCTTTTATTTTTTCTTCATCATGCCTTTCAAAATCAAGGTGTGTGGTGTAATCATGGCATGTATGTGAGATAATATGACACTAGGCGTATTATATGCAAGATGGTATGGTGCTAAGCGTGTTGTACATGTGATGGTGCCAGGCATGATGTACGTGAGATGATACAGTGCTAAGCATGTTGTACATTAGAAGATATTGTGTTAAACATGTAAGTGAGACGATACAGTGCAAGACGTGCTGTATGTGGGACAATACGGTGTTAGGCATGAGGTATGTGTGACAGTATGGTGCTTGGTGTCTTGTACATGAGATGATACAGTGCTAGATGTGATGTATGCAGGACAATACAGAGCTAGACTTGTTGTATGTGAGATGATACGGCGCTAGGCGTGTTGTACGTGAGATGTTACGGTGCTATTGCGCTAGCAGAGTCCTTCTGAGCTGGGAACAGCCTGCAGCCTGGGCGTGGGGTCTATGCCGTCCTCGCAGCAGTCAAGCCCCACCCAGTGGGCAAATGGATCTGTGACCTCACTTCTTAATTCATGCCCGTGGGAGCCAGGGAGGGATCATGGGTAGTTTCCAGTCCAGGCCAGGGCTGGACAAGGCAGTTCTTTGTTCTTTGAGGCAGCAGAGCAAGAGCTTGTTCCCCCTGGAGCCCTCAGGGCTGGGAGGGATTCTTCTCCCCGCAGGTTCCACATGGCCTGTGGCTGCCCGGTAGTTCAAGGTCAGCGTTGGGGGGCAGCTGGAGTCGTGGCGCTCACAGCTGGCTGATGTTCACCGGCCGCTGGATATGCACCTGTGAGGGGAGAGGCCATGAGCAGGGGGGCTACTGTAATGCAGCACCTACCTCACACTGCCGACGTGAGACCCGCGCCTGCTTTCAGAGCATGAGAGATTTCTCCTGGCAGCCCAGACGTGGGCTTCAGTCCCCAGGATGCGGGTGGGGGGAGGTGAGTGTGGTATGTGGGTAAGTATGGTAAGGAGCTGCCCCTGGGGGTCTCCTGTAGCATGTTTCCCCACCACCACCACCCAGGAGAGTGAGGGGCTGAGGACGTGGCACATACCGGCTGGGAGGTGTCCACAGATTGCAGATCCACGTGGAAGGACCCGCTGCTCTCGGAGTCTGTGGGGACGGGAAGGGTCAAGAAGGCCGAGGGGGCAGGTGGGGGTCAGGATGGCACCCCCTGGAGAGGGGCAGCCAGGACTTCTGGAGCTCAGGGAGAACCCAGGTGTCCGGGCCCCCAGCTCCAACTCCCTTCCCCTCCCAGATAACCCAGGTGTCCAGGCTCCCAGCCCCCCCTGCTCCCATCCCGCAGCTCTCCCCCACCTCCCAGAGAAGCCAGGCATCCGGGCTCCAAACCTCCCTGCCTTCCCAAAGCTGGGAGAAAGCCCTGGGGTCTCCCAACACCTCCTGGAGGTTCCCAGGTGGGTTCTCCAGCCCCCAAGGCTAGGTCATGCCCTCCTCCCTGCCCTTGACCCCAGCTCGCAGGTGTTACCATCAGTGGGTCCCAGGTTGCGCAGTGTGAAGGTGCCTGGCACTGAGCACATGTCATTGTTGTCCTCATACATGTGCTGCTCTCTCCAGCTCTCTTCATGTCTGTGGGGACCCCCAGGAGCTGTTGTCAGTGCCTGGGACCCCACTGCCCTCCTGGAACCAGGGAGGAACCCAGGCATCCAGGCCCCCAGCCCCCACGGCCCTCCCAGAGCTGGACAGGACCCAGGCGACCAGATGTCAGTACCTCTTCCTGCGGGCCCTGATGAAGAAGGCGGTGAGGACGAGGACGAGGAGGGTCAGGACAGCGAGGGGCACCCCCAGCCCCAGCGCAAACTTGTTGATGGGCCTCTGGCAGTTTGCCTGCGGATACCAGTAGACCACGGGGTCCAAGCAGCTGCAGGGAGGGAGGCACCAGGGATTAGAGGGGTCCCTATCCCACTGCTCTGCTTTCTGCTCCCAGCCCTATCACCCCTGCCCCTTCCATTGCTTGCAGCCCCCAGCTGTCTACCTCCTGCCCCATCCCTTGTTCTGCTTTCCACCCCCTCCCCCATCTGTTGCTCTGATTTCTGTCCTCTGCCCCATGGGCTGTTCTGCCCCCTGCCTGGGCACTCACAAGCACTGGGGGCCCTGGCGTGTGACCTGGCAGGCACCGTGGTGGCAGTTGAGGTGGTCGGAGGCGTTGCGGTGGCAGCGGGACACGCACAGGAGTCTGTTCTCGGACACCAGCAGAGGCATGTAATAGGCGCTGAAATTGGCTGGGACGCGGCTCCTGCAGAAAGCTGTAGGGGGCGACGGATGAGGGGTGGCCACTGGGGGCCCATAGGGAGGTTGGGGTGGGGCCTGGCGGGGGTTACTCACCTGTGCTAGTGACCTCCTCCACAGTGGTTTTGCCCACGAAGGTGCTTGAGGCATTGAAGCAGAGAGTTGCTGGTGGGGAGAGGGGGAGAGACTGGGCATTTGTTCAGTCCTGGGCAGGAAGGGGTTAACCCAACCCCGGGGGGCAGCCCCACCCCTTTCCGTGTCAGCATTACCCCCCGCCCCCAGCAGCCAGGCTGGTTGCCTGGGCAACGTGGGATGGTGGATGGCCTGGGGTGGCCCAAATAATCCCCCCCATGTGTGTGCGCACAGGCATCTGCCACCTGGCAGCCCCTGAGCCCTCTGGCCAGCCCTGCCTTCACCTTGACCCTTTCATCTGGTCCCGGGTCCCAGCCATTCAGCCGCACCCATAGCCAGACACCTCCACAACCATCCATCCATCTCTCCGTCCATCCACTTGCACAAGGATCCATCCATCGTGCATCCATGCATCCATCCATCCCCACAAGGATCCATCTGTCTGTCCGTCTGTCCATCCCCCAGCATTCCCTTATCTATCTTTGCATCCATCCAGACACTGTCTCTGTCACTTCCTCTTTCCCAGTCTCCATCCCAAGCATCCCTGTGTCTGTCCATCCTGATGCTCACCCTTCTCCCCACTGTCCCTCCAGTCCTTGCCCCATCCATCCAGCCTACCCACTCCCACCTTCTATCCCCTGTGTCACTGCTTCTTCTTTGACCCTAGAGCATCTGAGTGACCCCCAAGGTCAAGGTTTTCCACCTTATTGCCAAGGGAACTAGGTGAAATCTCTCTCTCCCCACAGCCCTGGCCTTGCCTAGCCCCTGTGCCATGTCCCCAGACTCACTATTCTGGATGTGGCAGTTCTGGCCCTCAGACTCTGCCGCTGCCTTCACGGCTGTGACCAGCTCCTCAGTGATGTTGTTCAAGCTTGTGTTCAGCTTGGAGTTGATGGGTAGAACCAGGATGACCTCGTAGTCTACCACGATGCTGCCCTTCCTGTTGGAAGAGACCCGGTGTTTCAGAGGCTGCCCGGCTGCCTAGGGTGGAGGTTACCATGGACTGGGTTCATCCAGCCTGCATCTTCATCCACCACCCTGGGCATTATGGGTGCCAAAGATCCAGGACAGGGGGCTTTCCCAGGCTCCTCCTTGGCTGTGGAGTTGGCTGGCTACCTCCCTGCCTGAGCTCATCCTGCAATGTGGGAGGTGAAGATTCGTGCTCCTTGCCTGCAGGTGTCTGGCTAAAAGGAATCTGATGAACCAGTTGGCCAGAAAGTTGGCTAGCCAATAAGCCAGCCAATCAATCAGCCACACAGCCAGGCAATCAACCAGCCAGACAATCAAACAGCTTGCCAATCAACCAACCAGCCAATCAACTAGCCAGCTGTTCAATTAACCAGCTGGTCAACCAACCAGCCAGCCAAGAACCAGCTGGCCAGGCAATAAACTACCCAGCCAGCAAACCAGCCAGCCTGGCCATTAACCAGCCAATCAAACAGTCAGCTGGCTCATCACCCAGCCAACCAATCACCCAGCTAGCCAATCAACCAGCTGGCCAGCCAATTAATCAGCCAGCCAGCCAATCAACCATTTGGGGACAGATGTGTTGTGTGATCTGGAGGTTCCCTACATCATCCGCACCCCCTTCTCTGACCCCGAGATGCGCCCATGCATTGCTGATACTCACTTCAGGCCAAGGATCTTCACTCCCTGGTAGCCTTTGATGTCCTTGTAGAGCTGGGCCATCTGAAGGGCAGAGGCAGAGGGTGATACCAGGGAGAGGTGGATGGGACCCCACACTACCCCTGCCCCAAGCTGCTGGTCTCACCTTCTCTGTGAACTCTCTGGTGAAGTCCTTGTAGGCTGTGGACGTGCTGTCCTGGAGGTCTTCGGTGAAGTTGCGGTTTGTGATCTTGGTCTGGACCTCCACTGTGGCATTGACCTCTGGGGCAGGGATCGTGCCAAGTGAGGCCGGGTGCTACTTCCCCCCACTTCCCAGCTCCTCTGGAACACTCCACACCTGGGATCAGGGTGTCTCATAGCTGTCAGACCCCCTTCATTAGTGAAGGCATCATTAAGGGTGCTGGGATGGTGGTTGCCACCAGTTTGCTAGGAAGGGACTCAGGTGACTGAGCTGGTGCAGCTGGGGTTAGCACAGGGTGGGGCCTGGGGACCAGCACACCTGGATTCTCTCCAGCTGTGGGAGGGGAGTGGGGTCTGGGGATCTTGTGGGGGGCGGGCTGGAAGCTCAGTTGCCTGGGTTCCTGCCTGATTTGTGCCTGTTCCAGACAACTCTATGTAGAGTTGCTGGGGGGCCCCGGCCCCAGGCAGAAGCAGCCCCAGGTTCAGGACTCCTGCCTGGTGGGTGACAGGGGATGTCAGGACCCTGGGGGGAGACAGGGGGGCATGTACTCACCGGGCTTGACCTCAATGGTCTCCTTGGTGAACTCACACTCGAGGCCCTGGAAGCCGGTGGGGCAGAGGCACTCACCGGTGCTCCAGGTGCCCCCATTCTGGCAGACAGGGTTCTCACACAAGGGGCCATAGAAGCCCCCAGGGCAGAGGCACTTGTTGCCGTCACTGGTGCCACCGTTCAGGCATATGACTGTGTGGAACAAGCCAATACTCCCTGTGAGTCTGAGCTGCTATGCCACCCTAGGCCCCACCTGCCAGCCCCACTCCTGGGGGTGTCTTGTAGGCGAGAAGATATGGTACTTAGTAAGCTTCTCCCAGGCCCATGCCATGACTCCCTTTGGAGGCCAGGACTTGCAGAGGGCCTAAGTGCTCTGAAAGGCTCGTGGGAGGCATCAGATCCCCCCCATTCTGGTCTCAGGGAGGCTTTTCTGCAGCTGAACCCCTTGCAATATCTTCACATACCCTTGTGCTCACAAAGCACAAGGCCACTCTTGAAGGCCCTGATGGGGCAGGAAGTGGCCCCTGCTGTGACACCCCAGGGTCTTGGGAACATGCAGTGGGCATGCCCACACCAATGCAGTAACTCTAGACCTAGCTTTGTAAGCAGACCTCATAAGAAGTCCCAAAGTGGGACCAAGGACCAGCCCAAAAGCCTGGGGGGGGAGGGGCAGGGATCACAGGAAGGGTCCCAACAGTCTGGCGCTGGCAGAGAATGGGCACTCACCTGAGCCTGGGGCAGTTGTAGTTGTTGTGGTGGTGGTGCTTGTGGTAGTTGTGGTGGTGGGGGTGGTGGGGGTAGTTGTGGTAGTGGTGGGGGTGGTAGTGGTGGCGGTAGTTGTGGTGGTGGGGGTAATTGTGGTAGTGGTAGTG